ACTGTCTGTATGTTATCTCCGCTGAACCTCAAAAGGCCTGCTATGTAGCAACACCGTGCGATGACCAACTTTGATAGACTTAGCTCTTCTCATCAATGCAGTGATCCAAGACAATTCCCTTTCTTTTTTGGTTTGTTTGTTTTTGTTTTTTGGCTAGGCAATGGGGTAAAGTGACTTGCCCAGGGTCACACAGCTAGTTTAAGTGTCAAGCATCTGAGGCTGGATTTGAACTCAGGTCCTCTTGACTCCAGGGCAGGTGCTCTATCCACTCTGCCACCTAGCTGCCCCTAATAGCGTATGCCTTTTTTTTTTTTGTTTGTTTGTTTTTGGATCTAAGGCAATTCCAAAAGACACATGATGGAAAATGCTATCCACAGCCACAGAAAGAACTTTGGAGTCTGAAGGCAGATCGAAGCATGCTATTTTCTCTCTCTCTTTTTTTCTTTCCTGTGGTTTTTCCCTTTTGTTCTGATTCTTCTTTTACAACATGGCTAATATGGAGATATATTTAATATGATTGTACATGTATAGCCTATATATAGCGTGCCTTCTTGGGGAGGGGGAGAAGAGGGAGGGAGAAAAAAATCTGGAACTCAAAATCTCATAAAAGTGAATGTTGAAAACTATCTTTACATGTAATTGGAAAAAAATAAAATACTATTAAGTGGGGGAAAAAAAACAAAAAACAAACAAAAAAAAGGCCTGCTATGGGCAATTTACTAGGGGCAGCTAGGTGGTGCAGTGGACAGAGCACCAGCCCTGGAGTCAGGAGGACCTGAGCTAAAATCTGGCCTCAAACCCTTCTAGCTTGTGATCCTGGGCAAGTCACTTAACCTCAATTGCTTCCCCACCTCCACAAATTGTAATTTACCAGCTGAGTAATCCAGGACAAGCCATACCTCTTTGGCCTCAGTTTCCTCATCAGTTGAAGGTTTCTGAGGTCCCTTTCAGCCTTTGAGGTAGGTACTGTGGCTGGAGTGGGGCAGCCTACCTGTCAGTGGTGAGGACCCCTAAGGTCACCAGCTTGAGGCTGCTCCTGGGTAGGCCACTCTAGGAGCTGGGAGAGCAAGGGAGGAGCGCCCAGGACTCTAAGTGCAGCCTTCTTCATTTGGTGCCCTGGGACAAAGCCCTGGTCTCCATGGTATAGTGATTTCAGTTCTAAGTTATAGAAGTGGGGTACCATAACCCCAACAAGGACATTCTATAAATCATCTTGATCTTAGAACAATGGGCCTACAGTCAGGAGAGCTGTGGGTCAGGCAGAGATCCTTGCCCTGGGGTTTGGGAAGTTTTTTTTTTTTAAAAGCAGTTTAATAACTGTATTTCAATACAATTGGTATCCTTTGTAAGCCTCTGTATTTTATTGTATATATTATGTACAATATAATATATATGTATATATACTATATACAATTTTATACTATATATTCTTAGAAATGGCCGTCTCTATCACAGGCAATGTGGTTTCTTGGAAGAGCACTAGATTTGAAGTCAGAGGACCTGGGGTCTTATTGTGGCTCTGCCAGTGACTTTGAAAAGGTCACTTGCCCTCAGTTCCCTCCTCTGTGAATGAGAGGGTTGAACCAGATGGCTTCTTGGAAGCCACAGAAGGGGTCTCCTCCACCTTTAGAGCTCTGGGCCTGGGATCCAATGAGTAGATGGCCTCCTATATATAATATATAGTATATATATTGTACATTTTAAAAGGAGCTTTGTTTGCACTTAGTTTGTAAAGCCTGTGGACTTTCATTTTCAGTTTTTAGAGGTAAAGGGGTCCATATTCCGAGAAGGGGTCCATAGATATCACCAGATTGCCAGAGGGGTAACAAGTCAGAAAAAATAAAAATGAAAATGTTAAGAAGCCTTGCTTAAGACTTGCTAGTTGTGTGGGCATGGAAGAATCAAATTCCTTCTCCAAGCCTCAGTCTTCCTCTCTGCCAAGTGGGTATGAAAAAATGCCCTTAATGGAGCTCATGTTATTCATTTTGAAACTCCTTTCATGAAAAGAATATAAGTTCCTTGAGGGCAGGGACTATTTGGTTTTTGTCTTTGTATACTTGGTTCCTAGTGCCATGGCTGGCACATGGCAGCACATAAAGGCTTGTACAATTGAACTTAAGTAGGACATTAACGTTAGTGGCATCAGTATGAGTCAACAGCTTGTCTTAACAGCCAGAAAAAAGAGTGAGTATGTAGGCTGTCTAGTGTCCAGGACTAAGGAAGTCCTATTTCCTCTCTACTACCCCCTGGTTGGACCACATAGGAAGGAAACAAACATTTATTAAACACCTACTATGTGCCAGGCACTGTGCTAAGTGCCTTACAAATATTATCTCTTAATGTAAATCAAAACAACTCTGTGGTACCACATCACACCTATCAGAATGGTCAACATGACAAAACAGGAAAATGATAAATGTTGGAGAAGATGTGGGAAAATTGGAACACTAATGCATTGTTGGTGGAGTTGTGAAATGATCCAACCATTTTGGAGAGCAATTTGGAACTATGCCCAAAGGGCTATAAAAATGTGTATACCCTTTGACCCAGCAATAGCACTTCTGCGGCTATATCCCAAAGAGATCATACAAATGGGAAGAGGAACTGACATGTACAAAAATATTCATAGCAGCTCTTTTTGTGGCGGCAAAGAATTGGAAATTGAGAGGATGCCCATCAATTGGGGAATGGCTGAGCAAGTTGTGGTATATGAATGTTATGGAATACTATTGTGCTATAAGAAATGATGAACAGGCTGACTTCAGAAAAACCTGGAAAGACTTGTATGGTCTGATGCTGAGTGAAGTGAGCAGAACCAGGAGAACGTTGCACACAATAACAGCCACGTTGCGTGATGACCAATATTGATAAACTTATCCCTTCCTGGCAATACAAGGATCTAAGACATCTCCAGAGGCCTTGTGATGGAAAATGCTATCCACATCCAAAGAAAGAACTATGGAAGCTGACTTGTTATTTTTTTCTCTTCTGTTGAGTTTTGTTTCCTCTTTCTGATGGTTCCTCCTATTGGTTTTAATTTCTACTTACAACATCACTAATGTGAAAATATGTTTAATATGAATGTAAATGTATAGCCTATATCAGATTGTGCACCGTCTTGGGGAGGGTGGTGGGGAGGAAGGGGGAGAAAAATTTTAAACTCAAAAGCATATGGAAGTGATTATCAATAAATCAAAATAAATTAATAAAAAATTATCTCTTTTGATTCTCATGACAACCTTGAGAGGTGGGTGCTGTTATTATTTTCGTTTTAAAGTTAAGGAAACTGAGGCAAACAGGTGAAGTGACTTGCTGAGGGTCACACACTTAAAAATGTCCGAGGCTGAATTTGAACTCAGGTCTTCCTGACTGCAGACCCAGCATTCTAGCCACTGAGCTACCTAGCTGCCTCATAAGATCATATATTTAAACCTAAAGATTACCTTAAGGAGTTATCTAGTCCAACCAACCTCATTTGATTCTCATAACAATTCTGGGAAATAGATGCTATTATTATCATCCCCATTTTATAGATGAAGAAACTGAGGCAAATAGAGTTTAAGTGGCTTGCCCAGGGTCACATACTTAGTAAAGTATCTGAGGCCAAATGTGAACTTAGGTGTTCCTGACTTCAAGCTTAGGGTTCTGTCCACTGTACTACTTCGCTGAATATGGGGGATTAGACTTAGTCTGCTTGGCCCAAGAGGTGAGAATTAAGAAGTCACAAAGAGACATATTCAAGTGGATGTCAGGAAAAACTTCCTAACAACTTCCTTGATTCTAGGCCCAGGGTTCTATGCACTGCGCCACCTAGTGGCCCTAGAGGAAACTACAACCTAATACAAAGGGCCCCGGGGGTTAGTGCCGGGGCGGGGAACCTGCCGCCTGGAGGCTACATCTGGTCCTCTATGTCCTCAAGTGCAGCCCCTTGACGGAATCCAATTCAAAGGGCCACACTTGAGGACCTAGAGAGCCACATGTGGCCTCAAGGCTGTAGGTTCTCTATCCCTGGTAGCCGCTGTAACTTTTGCTAAGGATGAATCGGCTGGCAGGGATGATGGTGTTTTTTTTTTTTTTTATAAGAGGGCTGGTAGAGGGAGCCCTGATTTGAAGGAGGAGATCTGTAAAAAATTAATTGTTCCTTTGTGTGCAGACTGTCCTGCTAAATAGCCTTTGGAAACTCACCAACCTTATCCATTTACCCAAGTGTTCCCGGAAAAGTGACTCTTTGCAGACACTGGCATCCAGCAGACTTATTAAGCCATGCAGAAGGCAGTGTGCCATACAGCGGCAGATCAGGCATTTTGACCCTGGCTAATTTCACTCAGTGCTAAGCCTCAGCCCCTCCCTGTCCTCTCCAGCTTGGCAGACAGCAGAGGTCCCCCAAGGATCAGAGATTGAGAGGTAGCAGGGCTCTCAGAGGCCACCTACTCATTGGATCTTAGGACCAGAGCTCTAAAGGTGGAAAAGACCCCTTCTGTGGCTTCCAAGAAGCCATCTGGTCCAACCCTCTCATTCATATGGGAGGAAACTGAGGGGAAATGACCTTTTCAAAGTCATTGGCACAGCCAGAATAAGACCCCAGGTTGTCTGACTTCAAATCCAGTGGCTTTTCCAAGAAACCACATTGCTTGTAATAGAGACAGCCATTTCCAAGAAGAATAATCATTGAAATTTAAATATGGCTTCAAAGTTCCAAAAAAAGTAATTGATATCCATTCTTTCATTTGAACCTTAAAACAACCCTATGGGTGTTACTGGTCTGATCTCCATTTCTTCTAGATGAGAAAACTAGGGTGGAGAGAGGAGAGTGACATATCCATGGTCACACAGCTCCTAAGTGGCAGAGGTAAGATTCCACCCCAGGTGTTCCAGATGCCAAATCTAGCTCTCTAGTCAATTTGACACTTGGCCTCCTGGGAAACTCTCATGCCTGGGGTACTGAGAGGACCCAGTAAGGTTGTGCACCCGTTTTCCTTTTCAGCTGAGGAGGCACTCACCTGGCTGTGAAGTTGTTGTAATTCTTCTAGGCTCTGCCTCAGTTTCCCTCTTTCTCCTTCCATCAGTTCCCTTAGCGCTCTAGAGTCCTCATTGGTTTGTCTGATTTGCTCTTCTAAGGTGTCGTCATCAATTCTCCGGGAGCTCTGGTAGAAAAAGAGAGCCACCAACCAGTCAGACATAAGGAGAGGGAGCGGGGGAAGAGAGAGACAGAAAAGCAGGAGAGACAGGAAGACAGGGAGAGAGACACAGAAACAAAGAGAGACAGAGAGACTGAGAGATGGGAATAGAGAGAAAGACAGATAGAGAGAGATAGACTGAGAAACAGAAACAGAGACAGAGAAAGACAGAGACAGAAACAAAGAGAGACAGAGAGATCCTTTGCTCAGTTTTTAATTGCAAATAATTAGTATTCATTACTGCCCAAGTGTTAAGGGAAGAGGGGGGAGGGGGAGAGTAATTTAATTGGTATAATCCATCATATTCCCCAGTTTGACATCATTCCTTCTTCTCCCAGACTGACCTGATTCAATTGAATAAACAACAAGCATTTATTAAGCACCTATAAAGACAGAAATAAAACAGTCCCTACCTTCAAGAAGCTTACATTTTACTAAGGGATTCTACTGATCTATATAGGTCCTAGACAGCCATAATAAAACACGAACTCAACACAGCCAGTACCCAACACAGGTAGGGACAGCTATCCTACCATTTCACCTTACCTGGCACAGTCAGAAAGATTTTGATACTCAGTGGGAAGAAGAAAACTGAAGATAAATAATAGCTGAAGGACTGAGAGTCTGAGCAGAGTCAACAAGGCAAAAATCTGCCATATTTGGCTGAAGGGACATGTCAAGGAAATAGTGTATACAGAAAACTCATTAGAACAGTACCTCTCCCTCGAATGCGCAAGAGCCAAACTGGGAATACAAGAGCCAGACTGGGAACAGTAAGAACCCTTCACAACTGACCTTTTCCACATTTACTCATTCATGACTTCTCTGGGCAGGAGTTTTCCCCCTCACACACTCAATTTTCCAGCCAAACAGTCCTACAGAATTCCAAGTAATCCTACTTGTAATTTCCATCTCGACATTCCATCTCCCACCTCCATCTCTTTGCAAGGGTTTCCCCCCCATACCTAGAATGGTCTGTTGCCTCAACTTGACAAACTTAGCTTTCTTTAAAGCACAGCTCAGGCAGCTACATGATGCCCATCCCAGATTTCCCTAGTGCTTAGAGTTGTCTACCACTTGAAATTACTTTGTGAATACTTTGTATTTTCATCTCTGTGTAGATGGTGTTTCCTCTGATAGAATATAAGCTTCCTGGGGCAGCGATGCCATAGTTTTTTCTTTGGATGTTCAGCACTGAACACGGTGACTAGCACACAATAAGTGCTCGTTGAATTGAATGGGCAGCATCCCATCATATAAATAGGGAAGTAGGAGCTCATCCATTTGTGGTGTACAAGAGCCCCTGACTCTCAGCCTCCACTTACTTCCCTAGCATTTCCAGGATCATAACGGATTTAGCACTAAATATTCTTGGGGTCAGAGGATTATAGATTGAGTGCTAGAAGGCCTCTTAGCGGTCACATAGTCCAACTTTAATTTTTCATCAGAAAATTAAGACCCAGAAGGGGAAGGCGATTCACTCAAGGTCACACAGGGGACAAATGGTAGACCCAAGATTTGAACCTGCATCTCTTTACTCCAAATCCAGGGTTCTATCTACAATGCTATCATGCTCTCTCAACCCTGATCTCTGTCCCGTGTCTTCCAGTGCTTTCAGGTTAGCTGACTAGAGACCTGGTCCAAATATTTTATTTTTAAAAATTTAATTTTACATTTTTCAATGAACAAAAAGATCCATTTTCTTTCCTTTCAATCTCTCCCCCATCATTCCCTGACCACTGAGGGGGGAAAAACAAAAAGAAAACTGTTACGCAAATATGCATAGTTAAGTAAAACCCTTATAGTGGCTGTATTGGTTTATAAGAAATGCCTTATTGTGCAGCCTGAGCTGGACTAGTGGCCTCTGTTATGACTCCCTCCACTTCATGCCCTTACCCTCGGCAAGGCCCTAGAGAGTAGGACCATAGCTTTGGCACTGGGAGGGATCTGGGAGGTCATCTATTCCAATCTTCCCATTTTAAGGATGGGTAAACTGAGGCCTGGTGACTTGCCCACCTTCATCCTACTAATGAAGGGCAGGGCTGGGGTCCCAACCCAGGGCCTCAGACTCCTAGCACAGTGTTCTGGCCACTGCCCAAGAAGTCCCCCGGCAGGGCCTCTTACCGTGGGCTCCATTCCATCCACTATGCTCTGAATAAGTCTCTTGAGCTCACTGAGAGCCGTGCGTAAGCTGCCGGCTGGCACATCCTTGGCTGACGAGGTTTCTGACGACTCGTCCATCGAGGAGTCTGTGGAGACGGCTGAGTCGGCACTGTCATTTCCCCGGAGGTGGGAGCAGAGATATCGGACCTGGCAATAAGCTTCCCAAAGCTGCAGCCTCAGCTGGCCCGGGGAAGAAATTACATTGGAATGCGGGCCAGAGAAGAGGCTGCCAACCCTCCCCACGCCTGCCGCCGCAGAGCCTTCCCTGCCCTTTTGCAGCCAGGACATCAGGTCTTCCCCTCTTCCTTAACCACCCCTTCCGTGAAATCCTCCCATTGCGCTCTGAGCTGTTCTCAGCGTGTCTGAACAGCTCGCTCCTCCTCCCTGTGGTGTTTTGGGACTTTCACGCTTGAGTACCTAAGCTGGAAAGTCATGTGGAGGGGTGAGGAAAAGGTTAGGGGCACTTGGGGAGGGAGGGGGTGTGGGAGAATAGTTGGCAGGGTGAAGGACAATGGTTCTTGGGTGCCAGCGCCCAGGGCTACAAAACCAGGGCAGGTCATTCCACAGTCAATTCACAAGAATTTAAGTGGGAGGAGCTGGGAGTAGGAAGGAATGGAAATCAGCTATGCCCTGACAGAATCCCAGAATGGGAATGGCCATCTAGCCTAACCTGGGCTCGAGAGATCATCCCACCCACCACAGCCCCCAAAAGTCATCATCCACCTTCCACTTGACTATCTCCAGTGATGGGGAACCCACTGGTACACAGTAAGTGCTTAATAAATGCTTGTTGGCTGATTGTTAACAAACTCCTGAGGCAACCATTCCACTCTGGGACAGTAAGGATGTTAGGATCAAGACTTAGGGATAGGAGGTCCAACCCCCTCATTTTATCGTTGATGACACTGAGGCCCAGAGAGAAATGAGGTGACCTGTCCAAGGTTACACACACAGGCAGTACATGGCAGAGCCAGACTAGGAAGTCAGGGGCTCTTTCCATAGCTTAGGTTTGCCTCTTTGTAGCTTCCATCCCTGCTCCTAGCTCTGATCTCTCCGATCTAGTAGAGCGTGGTTAATCCTTCTTCCAAATCGCAGCCCTTTAAATACTTGGAGACAGCTAGGTGTCTCCTGCTGAGTCTCATGTCAGGTCAAACGGCCAGTTTCTTCAACCCATCCTTTTATGATACAAACTCAACACCTTTCGTCATCCTGACTGCCCTCCTCCTAATATGCATCTTTCCTAAAACATGCTGCTTAGAACTGAACCCAAAACTTCAGATACACTCTGTCCTGGAAGGCGGACAGTGGGACTTACCTCTCTGGCATTGAACCCCATCCCACGATTAATACAGTCTATGAATACATGAACATTTTCTTGTCTGTCCTATCTATCTGTCTATCTAATATACACACAAATATGTATGTATATATATTTTGTATTTACTTTTCTGTGTATATGTTGTTATTGCTCAATAGAATGCATGCTTCTTCTTTTTTGGAGGCAATCAGGGTTAAGTGAATTACCTAGGGTCACAGAGCTAGTAAATGTCAGAGGCTGGATTTGAACTCAGATCCTCCTGACTCCAGGGCCAATGCTGTATCCATTGCATCCCAAGCTGCCCCAGAATCTGTGCTTCTTGAAGGCAGGGACTTTCGATCTTGTTTTCAGATTCCTAGTGCCTGGCATACAATAGGCATTTAATAAATGCAGCTAGGTGGTACAGTGGATAGAGCACTGGTCCTGAAGTCAGGAGGACCTGAGTTCTAATCTGGCTTCAGACACTTACTAGCTGTGTGACCCTGGGCAAGTCACTTAACCCCAACTGCTTCCAAAAAATTAAAAATAAAAGGGAAGATTCAATAAATGCTTATTGATTGAATGATGATAGAATGTAAGCTCCTTGAGCACAAGGACTGTGTCATTATTGTCTTGGCTCCCTAGTACTTGGAACATAGCTGTTCTTTATTCAGTCAGTCCTGTCTGACTCTTCGTGACCCCATCTGGGGTTTTCTTGGCAAAGATGTTGGAGTGGTTTGCCATTTTCTTCTCCATCTCACTTTACAGATGAGAAAACTGAGGCAGACAGGGTTAAGCGACAAGGTCACACAGCTAGTAAGTGTCTGAGGTTTGATTTGAACTTAGATCCTTCTGATTCCAGGGCTGGTGCTCTTATCTACTGTGCCCACCTAGTTGCCCTATAATAGAAGGAAGGGGGAAGAGAATAAATACTTATATAATGCCTACTATGTGACAGGGACTATGCTAAGCACTTTACAATTATTATCCCGTTTGATCCTCACAATAACCCTAGGATAAAGATGCTATTATTGTCTCCATTTTACAGATGAGGAAATTGAGGCAAACAGAGGTTAAGTCACTTGCCCAGGGTCAACAGCTGGTAAATGTCTGAGGTGAGATTTGAACTCAGGTCTTCCTGACTCCAGGCCAGTACTCTATCCACTCTACCACCTGGCTGTCCTGTGGAACATTGTATGTACTTAATAAATGTTTATTGATTGAGTGATGATAGAATGTAAGCTCCCTGAGGGCAGGGACTGTTTCAGTTTTTGTCTTTGTATTTAAGCACCTTGCACAGAAGCTTGATTCACTTTTTTTTAAGTAGGGGATCAGACCTGCAATTTTATTGGCCTATAGAGCTCCCAGTAAGGAAACTCTCGATTAGTGTAGATCAGGACCTGCTTGGCAACGTATCGATCTTAGAAAGTTATCCAGGGTCCTGTGAGTTGAAGTGATTTCCCCAGGGACCTGGTGTGTAGGAGACATTTGATAAATGCTAACTGAAAACCTCCAGGGAAGGGAAACCCATGGCCAATTCTAACTTAGGGTTTTTGTCAAGCGGTTCCCAAGGTTGCCCGTTCTGTCCTCTGGGGCCAAGTAGAACATGGCAGGTCTCCAGTCTGAGCCTGCTGTTTCCTGTCACTGAACTGGGCACACATGTCCACTTCCTTGGTCCCTATTTCAATCTTGTTCTCTTCCTTCACGGCTCAGCTCGGGTGCTACCAGCCTGAGCTCCCCTGCCCCTTTGCCCATCACCCTTCTGAAAGTCATCTCCCCCTTGCCCTTAAACTTCTCTTCATCCCTTGAGTGGCATGTGAGCTCATCGGAAGGATGGGCTGCAACATTTTTCTGCTGGGCTGAGATCTGTTCCCCTACAATGTGTACCCTTCTGTTTGCTTGGCCAAGCAGGAAAAGTCCATCCTAAAATCTTTTCTCCATGAAAATCTTTCCTAGAACCACAGGCTTGGAGCTTGAAGGTGCCTTAGAAGCCCTCAAGGTCAAAATTTGGAGATGAGAAAACAGGCTCTGAGTAGAGTTGTCTAAAGTCATTCGGGGAGTGAGAGAGGATAGAGCATTGGCCCTGGAGTCAGGAGAACCCAGGTCCTCTGACTTCAAAGGCTTTTTTGTTGTTCTTTGTTGAAAAGCATCACCATGTAAGTGGCCCCTTACATCTTTTCTTCTCCAGTTCAATCATCCCTACCTCCCTCAACCAATCCACTCATGACATGATCAGATAGGTAAACTGAGGCCCAGGAAGATGAAAGAATTTGCCCAAGGTCACCCAGGCAGTAAGTGACCACGCCAGGATTTGAACCCATGTGCTCTGATTTCAAAACCAGCATATTTTTTCCACTGCTTAATTAAAAAAATATTTTCTCCCAAGTGGCCAGTCCCTTCACCATCCTGACTTCCTTCTGGATGCTCTCAGATTGCCAAAGTTCTTCCTAAAATATGTCACCCAGAATTTAACACGATATTTTAGATGTTGACTGACCAGGACAGAGTACAGTGTAGTACTATCATTGAATCTGATAACACATGGAAACCATTTTGCACATCTTAAAATGCTGCACAAATGTTTTGTTGTTTAGTTGTGTTCAGTCATGCCCAGCTCTGTGACTTCATCTGGGTTTTTCTTGGCAAAGATACTGGAGCAGTTTGCCATTTCCTTCTCTAGATCATTTTACAGATGAGGAAACTGAGGCAAACAGGATGAAGTGACTTGTCCAGGGTCACACAGCTAGTAAATGTCTGAGGCCAGATTTGAACTCAGGTCTTCCTGACTCCAGGCCTGGCACTCTATCCATTGTGCCACCTAGCTACCTATATATAAATGTTAGCTATCATCATCATCACCAGCACCTAGTTCGGGATACTTTGCGTCTCTTAATGCAGCCCCAGATGACAATGTTTTTTGGCTGCTATATCTTACCATTGATTCATATCGAGCTTGTGGTCCACTAACCCTCACCCTCCTCAGATCCTTCCCCCCCCCCAGGAACCAAACCCGAACACGTGCATGTAATTTCGGCCCATCCTCCCCAGGAGTCACACCTGTTCTCGCTCTTGCTCCAGCTCCTCAGCCTCCATGCTCTGCTCGATTTCAGACAGGAGTGACGTGCTAGTGGCATTAAAGCTCTGCAGACTCCTCTCGTCGCTGAGCTCCTCCACCTTCACCTGGAGCTGCCGGTAGGAGAGCCGGACGTCCTGGAGCTCCAGCTGACTCTGGTGGAGCTTTCAGAAAGACAGGAAGGGAAGAACTGTTGGGCAGGACCAAGACTGGGAAAGGAGGAAGCTGGCAGGTACACCCCGTGGGAGGATCAGCCTTTATTTGCCTTCTTTGCTATTCTGTCTATAGATTCCTTTGTATGTATTTGTTTGCATGTTGTCTGTAAGCTCCTTGAGGGCAGGGACTGCCCTTTGCTTCTCCTGGTATCCCCAGAGCTTAGCACAGTGCCTGGCATATAGTAGGTGTTTAATAAATGCTTATTTACTAATTGATCATTTGGATACTGTGACTTTATAACAAATAAGACAGTAGTTATTCTTAGGTTGGGCAGCTAGGTGGTGCAGTGCATAGAGTACCGGACTTGGAGTCAGGAAGACTCATCTTCTTGAGTTCAAATCTGGCCTCAGTCACTTACTAGCTGTGTGACTCTGGGCAGGTCACTTCACCTTAGCTGTGTGACTCTGGGCAGGTCACTTCACCCTGTTTGCCTCAGTTTCCTTACCTATGAAATGAGCTGGAGAAGGAAATGTCAAATCACTCTAGTATCTTTGCCAAGAAAACCCCAAAAGGGGTCATAAAAAGTCAGACACCACTGAAAAATTAATGAACAATTCTTAGGTCAGGGAAAAAAAATTTGCTTTGTTTAATTGTTGGCAAATTTGATTTTCTTGAGTAATAAAATTAAACTCGGGGGTCATTTGTTTCTAGGGTTGCCCCTTCACAATTCTTAAAAACCTCCCATTTAAACAATCCATGCCCTTCCTCCATCTCCAGGATGAGTTGACCCTAGCCTTTCCTTGAAGGTACCAGCCACTAACCACCAGGTCACAGAATTGGATGGGACCCCAAAGGCTGTCTAGTCTAACCCATAGCCAGACACACACCCCCTCTGCAGCATCCTTCATAGGTCATCATCCAGCTTTTGCTTAGGGACTTTCAATGACAGGGAACTCACTACCTTACAAGTCAGCCCATTCTATGTTTAATAATAATAACTGACATAGACTTAAAAGTGGCAGGGGCCTTAGAGACCATCAAGTCCATTTTACAGATGAGGAGATTGAGGCTGACAAAGATAAAGTCATAAGCTGGTAAGATCTAAGGTGGGATTTGAACAGGTCTTTTTGATTCTAAGCTCCATCTATTATATTGTTTATAGAGCATATAAAAAACTTGCAAAGTTCTTTAAATACATTTTAATACCTGAGCCCTTTAACAACCCAGTGAGAGGTAATACAAAAATATTATTGCCATGTCTATGTTACAGATGAAGAAATGGGTTCAGACAGGTCAGGTGACTTGTCCAGGGTCACATAGCTAGTAAGAATCACGGATAGGAATTGAATTCAGGTTTTCCTAACCAAGTCCAGGGTGCTATCCACTAAACCACACTGCCTCCCACTTTTGTGCAACTCTGATTATTAGGAAGTTTTTTCTTATATCAAGTCATAATAATAATAATAATAATAATAATAATAATAATTAGTACTTATGTATCACTTTAAAGTTTGCCAAGTGCTTTACAAATATTATCTCATTTTATCCTCACAACAAACCCTGGGAGGTAGGGGCTATTATTATCCCCATTTTATAGATAAGAAAACTGAGGCAGAAGGAGGTCAAATGACTGGTCTAAAGTCACCCAATGAGTGTCCAAGGTCAGATTTAAACTCAAGCCTTCCTGACCCTAGGTCTAACATTTTATCTATTGTACTACCCTCACCTTTCCTAATCTCCCTTAATGCTAATGCCTTCCTTCTGTTAATTATCTCAACTTATCCGTCTATAGCTTGAACATAATTATTTGCATGTTGTCTCCCCCATTAGGCTGGGGGCTCCTTGAGGGCAGGCAATCGTGTTTCCCTTTATTTCTCAGCACTTAGCACAATGCCAGGTACAAAGTAGGTGATTAATAAATGCTTCTTTTGATTGATGGTACCAACTAAATGCCTCTATTTACATATGCCTTTCAACAACTGCCCCTCATTCTTCTTCATTCTACCCACTGGGACCGAGCAGAACAGGGCCTCTCCTTCATGATTTTGACCTTGAAGAGACAGCTCTCATGTTCCCCCCAAGTTTTCTCTTCCCTGCTAATATCCTCAATTCTTTCAAGTGGTCCTGATACAGTATGGGGGGGGCGCTTTCTCATCCTGGTTGCCCTCCATGAGATGCCCTCCAACTTCTCAATGTCTTTCTTTAAAAGTCATCTGGCTTCTTAGAACGATCCACACCCCTTCCCATCCTCCTGCCATGTTGTCCAAATGGTAGCCAGAATCCCAGTGTTGGGGCTTTCAGCTAGTTCTCAATGTAACTGGGTAGCTGTGTTTCCCTCCAAGCCAGAATGGGCAATGGGGGAGAGTTCTAAGCAGCCAATTACCCTACTCCCCTGGGTGACGGGGGCCTTGAAGGGTGCACCCACATGACCAAGAGCCCCAAGCAAGGCCACTGCCTCAGCATGGCTCTATCTCAGTGGGGGTTCACCACGCCCAGTTCTGAGGTACTTCAGAAGGAATGAAAAAAAATGATGTTCCTCAGAAATATTTCCCAGGCTCAGCTGGCCGTCCTGTGGACAGCATGGGGCATCAGCACATGGCTTGCTCATTGTTTTTCAGGAGAAATCCATGTACTATCTCAGCAGGTGAGACAAACTCAAGGCCTACCACACTGGAAGGAATTAATTCAATTATTCATTCATTCCAGAAGGTGCTTAATTAATGTTGACGTGAAGGGGGAAAGGACCATAGTAGCCTGAGGCTTGGGTCAAGAAATGGTTCACCAACTTGACAGTTATAAACCAACTTCCCCCCAATACTCCCTAAGCTAAAAAAAAAAAGTGAAAAACCAGGACCCAAATTTCTGTATTGTGAAAAATGAAGCAATAGAATAATAACTTCCTTTTCTAGAGTGCTTTAAGGTTTGCAAAGCGCCTTTTGTATGGTAATGCTTTGAAGCAAATAATGCAAGTATTACGCCCATTTTACAGATGAGGAACCTGAGCTTCGGAGAAGGGAAGTGGTTTACCCAATGTCATTCAGCTTATAAATGTCTGACACGAGATTCAAACCCAGGATGTCTGACTTCAAGGCGAGAGCTCTTCCCTCTACCCCCCACTTCCTTCTACCAGGTGGGGCCTATGTAGCTTAATATGTTATGTGTATTGTGTATATCAGGCATTAGCAAACCATGGCCCTGAGCCTGGTCTTGTGGTTTGCTGATCCCTAGTGTGTATAATATTTTAACACTCGGTGATATTTTAATATCATATATAAATATATCCTTACATAGATGATATACACGTGTGTAGGTATACCAGATATATCACATATATGATGTATGAGCTTAATTGCGCAAATGCATGCATACCCACATATATGTATATGTCCATGCATGCATATGTGTGTATAGATATATACATACATACACAGCCATACATATATTTTATGTGCATGCATGTATGTATACATATGTGTGATATGTGGATGAATACATCTTTATCTACCCATGTGTGTGACTACAAATCAAGCAAAAAGAAACAGAGGGGGTGGGAGGGAGAAGGTATCCAGGTGAGGGTATATTGGCAAAGCAAGGCGAGTCAGGAGTGAAGCCTTGTTTGGCCTGGCCACTTGCTCAAAATGGAAGATCCTGGAGGGATTCACTGGTGGGGGGAGGGGGTGGGAGAGAGAAGTGGGGGAGTCTTCCAGGGTAAGAAGGCAGCTGAAGCAGGGAGAAGTGCTCGTAGGATTAGAAACTTAGGCCTAGAGGCCATGAAATCCAACCTCCTCATTTTATAGATGAGGAGACTAAGACCTGGTGAGCTTCAATGATTTTCTCAGGGTTATAGAGCTAGTAAGTATTTGAGGGAAGACTGGAACCCAGAATCCGGGTCTTCCTGATTCCAAGTCTAAAATGCTATCCTCTGCCGTTGACATGTGTAAAGATCTGAAGCCCAAGGAGAGTTTTCACTCTACATTGATAGTTGGAGTTTCCACACCTGGAATTTCCCACACTAATTGAATCTCCCAGGTCTAGAACTACACATATTTAGGTTCCTTGTTCTATAATCAATGCACTTTGTGTATGTGTGGCATCCTTTTACTCTAACACTTCAAGGTGCCATGGTTTTCTCAGTGTGGGTTCTCTCTCCATTGGTGGAGAGTATACCCCATTATGTATGCCACATGAGACAGTCTTCAAGAGATAATGGATTAAAGTATTCATCCCTCTGCGGCTAACCTCTGGGGAGGAGCCCCTCCAGACTTGGCTAGGAAGGCCCATTCATGGACAACAGGTATGCAATCTGTTCTGCGAAGTTTGGATTTAGTCAAAGGGCCACAGTTGAGGACTTAGAAGCCACCTGTGGCCTCGAGGCCACAGGTTCCCCACCCTGGGCTAAATAAATTGTGATATATGAAAGTCATGGGATGTCACCAGGTTGTAAGAAATGATGGCTATGAAGAATTCAGAGAAGCATGGGAAGACTTCAAATTGATGCAAAGTGGAGAAAGAAGAACCAGGAAACCACAACAATGTAAATGCAAAGAACAAAGAGACAAAGCTGAATTGCAATATAATTATGAAGACCAAGGTTGGCTACCAAGAAAAGTTGATAAAATGTATCTTTCTCCCTTCTTTGAAGAGGTGAGGGAACCATGAGTGTGGAATATTGTATATACTATCAGAGAGGTGTTGCATTAATTGGTTTTGTGCCAATTTTTTCCCTCTCTTTAAGAAAGTTACCAGAGGTGGCATATTGAGCAGAGGAGCTGGCAGGGATATATTTGGGAATGAAAGTAATATGATCATGGAAGGTCTAATTAAAAATAGAGACCTGCGATGTACTGGTTAAAGTGGTAGACTTGGGATTAGGAGGTCCTGAGATCAAATTTTACCTCTGATACATATTAGTTTTGTGACCTCGGATGAGTCACTTAACTTCTTGACCTCAGTTTTTTCACCTGTAAAATGGGGATAACAATCCCTATAGGACCTACCTTGCACAGTTGTGATAGGGCTCCAATGAAATAATGCCTGTAACTCATTCTGTGAACTTAGAAGAGTCATATACTTCTCAATTACAATCATCCTAGTGCAAGATCTGCCATTTGCTCTACGACCTTGGGCAAACTGCTTCCCTTCTCTAGACTTCTTATTTCTCCTTGCTAAAAAAAAAAAAAAAAATCCAAAATGATGAAAATATCTTCTTTCTTCCTTTTTTTTTTTTTGGTGAGGCAATTGAGGTTAAATGACCAGCCCAGAGTCACACAGCTAGTGAGTGTTATGTGTCTGAGGCCAGATTTGAACTCAGGTCGTTCATGACTCCCAGGCTACAGTTCCATCCACTGCACCACCTAGCTGCCCCCTAAATACTTTCTGTCTCCTAGCTAGGGGAATGTTGTGAAGTTTGAATCAGTGACACTATATTAGTAACTAGTCATGTTAGATTGGTAACTTAGGGGTTTGTGCTAATAAATAAACTAGTGTAACTTTGTCCTAAGACTTGGTATCATCACCCTCATCCCCAGGTCCCTGGTCTTGGGACTCTTGCCATGAAGCTTTCCCAATCAGACCAGGGCCTCTTGTCATCAGATCTCTGACCCTGGATCCATCCTGTCCCTTCAAAGGCCAGCTCACAAATCACCTTGTACATGAAGAATCTTCTGATCCCTAGTCCCCTAGCTTCTAGTGCCTTCTCTCCCTACATTACCTTATTTTTGTATCAATGTTGCATTGATATATATGTGTATATATATATGTATATGTATATATATGTATATATATATACACATATGTGTGTGTGTGTATGTCTTTGTTGTTGTTCAGTTGTTTTCAGTCATGTCTTACTCTCCATGACCCCATTTGGGGTTTTCTTGGCAAAGATACTGAAGTGGTTTGCAATTTCCTTCTCTAGCTCATTTTACAGATGAGGAAACTGAGGAACACAGGGTGAAGTGACTTGCCCAGGGTCACATAGCTAAGGAAGTGTGTGAGGCCAGATTTGAACTCTATAAGATGAGCCTTTTTGACTGCAGGCTTAGCAGTCTAACCAGTGCGCCACCTAGATGCCCTGTATGTGTGTGTATCTATAGCTATATACCTATATCTATCTACATGTCTATCTAATAGAATATAGGCTGCTTGTACTGGTTTATGTGTAGGTCTTTAATAAAAGTTGGATGAGTGGTGAGTTGTGTGATAGTAACTATGCTTGACCCCAAAGAAGAGATGAGAATAAATGCACCTCCCTTCCTTCTTTGCAGAGGTGGAGGACTACGGGTGCGGAACACTACACATACTGTCAGGCTTGGTTGATGGGTAGGTTGGTTTAGCTGATCTGCTTTTTTTAATCTCTTTAACAATTTTTTGTTCTGAGAATGGCTCTCTAGGTATGGCGAGTGGGGACGGATATATTTGGAATTAAAGGGGATGGAAAAATGAAACATCAATAAAAAGTTTTCCAAGTGCTGGCTGACTGATCTGTAGTTGGGGCATCTCCTGAACATGACACATGAGCACGATTTCACGTTTTTCCTGGAGGTCTGAGGATATAGACAGAAGGTGAATTGAAGCCCTAGCTATCGTGGGAGGTGGGCAAACTTAGGATCGTACAACCACAGGGTGCTAAATTTGGGGTTGGAAGGGATCTCAGGGATCACTAATCCAATCCCCTCCATTTCTTGATGAAGGAACTGAGGCCTGCCTGAGCTTACACAGCTGGGAAATGTAAGAGATGAGGTTTCAACCTGAGTTGAGTCCCCTGACGCCACACTCAGTCTCTTAATTGACTCCAAACTCTGCTCTCTAATTCTGATTTCATTCTGGAAAATGGGCAGGGATCAGAGCATCTTAGAGCTAAAGCTAGAAGAGACCTTACAGGCCGTGTAGCCTTTCCCCTTCATTTTACAGATGGAGAAACTGAGACCTGGGAAGGCTGAGTGACTTGCCCAAGGT